AGATAGACAGGAGAGGAAGAGGGGGAGACAGGAGAGAGGGAGAGATACCCAGGAGAGAGGGAGAGATACCCAGAAGGGAAAGAGGGAGAGAGAAATCGAGATGGACGAGAGGGATTTAAAGGAAGAGAGGGGTCAGGAAAGAGGAGGGACAGGAGAGAAAAAGAGAGATTGATAGGAGAGAAAAAGCGAGTCAGAGATAGACAGGAGAGAGAACGTCAAGCGAGAGAGATAGAAGACAGAAGTGCAGAAGAGAGAGGGACAGAATTAGAGAGAGAGAGGAAGTAGGAGAAGCAGACTGGGGAGAGAGAGAGAGAAAGACAGGAGAGAGATGCAGACGCAGTGTGTCAAGGATCAGATCCTTGAGGGTGGGTCAGAGAGAGAGAGATAGCCTGCCATTGATAATTTCTCACTGATACCCTAGCTCCACAAACCCCTCAGGGAAGGACCCACCCCAATGCAGACACAGAGCCAAGCCAGGGGCAAAAATCGTCATTGGCTGTTCAAGCCCCTCTCACTGGGCTTTCCACACCCAAAGAGCCAGCCTTCCCTTGCCCTCCCAGCCTACCTTTACTCCAGCCCTTACTTTATCTAGGTCTTCGCTATTTTTCTGTCCCTTTCCCTCCTGCTTCTCATCGCTCCATCCTCTTGAGGGTGAGAAAGCTTTTCCCAGCCCTGACTGCCCTTTGGGGAGTGGGAACACTCGGTGGAGGAGCTAGGGCTGTAAGGATTGATGTGAGTGCTGCAAGTCTGCATTGCAAACTGCCCCAGATCCTGTTTGATGAAAGAGGCCATTGTAGAAGCACATTTACTGCCTGTGGGGTTAATTGTTAACAGGGAGTACTTTTCCACGCATGTCGATACCCATCCATTCAATAATCTCTTTGTATTTACCATATCGCCTGAAATATTACATTTACCCTCCTGTGTCTATCTAATACAGATTTTAGAAAGCCCACTTTATAAAACCTACTGAACGTGTGTGTATGTGCAGAATTACCATCTTCTCCAGTTTCGCTTTCTTTATTAGTCCTGAGCTGCTTCTACACAAATCGGGGTTTGGGTTTTTTTTTACATATATATATTTGGACTCGCCTTCAGAGTGCGAGCAGGAGACCATTCGGGCCCGCCGTGCCCATGCTGTCCCTTTTAGGCAGCGCCATCCAGTTAGAATACAGACAGAATCCGCCCACAAATTACAGCGACCTGTGAGCCTCCTGTAGTGTATCAGCCGCGATTTCAGCGAATGTTGTCGATGAGCCGAGTGGCCTCCTTCTGTTCCTGGCCGGGCGAGTCAGCAGTTGAATAACGCCTTGCAGTCTCTGGGCTCCTTTGATAACTATCCTTCGGTTTGAAAAAAGCTGGTGTGTGCTCACAAAATGCACTTCAGAGGATGGAGGAATGGGATTTTATCTTAATCTGGGAAAATGATTGATCAGAGTAAGTGATGGAATGTACTGAAACACTCCACCCTCACACGCAGTTAGTAAACAATTTTATTTTACCCTGGGGTGGACAGAACATACAGACCCAAATATTTTAGTTACAGCAAAGATTTTGTTTCTGAAAATAAGGACAGAAATTGCTGCAGAAAATCAGCGGGTCTGGCACCACCTGTGGAGAGAGAAAGGGAGAATCACTAGTGTGGAATCAAACCATTCAGCCCATTGAGTCCACACCCCCTCCAAAGAGCAGGCCATCCAAATTCACCCCTCGTTCCCTGTAATCCTGCATTTCCCATGACTACTCCATCTTATCTAAACCTCCCTGGACACCATGGACAATTCAGCACGGCCAATCCACCCTGCACATCTTTCCACTGTGGGAGGAAACCCACGCAGACACGAATGTGCAGACTCCACACAGACAGTCGCCTGAGGGTGGAATCCAACCGGGTCCCTGGCACTGTGAGGCAGCAGTGCTAACCACTGGGCCAACAAAACTAATGTTTCCAGTCCAGTGATAAGTTATGTGAACTTTGGAGTATTGCAAAGGAAAGTGATGCTTAACTCAGGTGAAGTGGTAGAAGTCAATCCAAAGATGGGCAGGCTAGGTAGATTAGCCATGCTAAATTGCCCATAGTGTTCAGGGATGTGTAGATTAGGTGGAGTATAGGAGGATGGGTCCAGGTGGGATGCTCTGAGATTCGGTGTGGACTTGTTGGGCCGAAGGGCCTGTTTCCACACCATAGGGATTCTATGATCTATGATCTATGCAAGTACAGTTACAACATCTAAAAGACATTTGGACAGATGCATGAATAGGAAAGTTTTTTAGAGGGATATGGGCCAAATGCAGGCAAGTGGGACTAGTGTGGTTTGGGAAACCTGTTTGGCATGGACAAGTTGGACCGAAGGGTCTGTTTCCACGCCGTATGACTCTATAACTCCTTAGATGCTGCTAGACCTGCTGAGTTTCTCTACCACTTTCTGCTTATTTTAATTTCAGATCCCCTGTAGCTGCGGTATTTTGCTTTTACTTGAGGAATTTTGAGCCTGTGAATGGAATAAATTCTCAGGGGTCTGGGCCAGCTCAGTAGGTTACAACCTGTGTGCATATTTCCTCATGTTCTGTCTACTTTCTAAATGCTACTGGCCTGATTGTAGGTTTGCAAGATTTAAGGGTTTGTTGGAGTGGTTTTAAAAAAAGTGTTCCCCTTTAAAGAGCTGCAACTGATGCAAAATTAAATTAAATTAAAACTTTGAAGGAACTTTGCAACTCATCAGTGTATTGCAGAGAAAGGAAAACAGCTGTCAACATTTCTTTTGCATGTATCAAGACAGATGCAAGAATGCCAAATTTTTTAAGGGAACAGTTTACACTGATGAGAAAAGGGTTCTGATTCATTGGCAAGTAGACTCAGCATTACTCAACTTCTGTTCTGCCAAGCAGAAATTAGTGCCACATCTGCCATACACTCAACAATAATTGCATTTATATAGCAGCTTTGATGGAGAAAGACATCACAAGGCACTTCAGCAGAGCATCAGCAGATAAAATTTGCAGCATGAAAGGAGGTATTCGGGCCGGAAACAAAAGCTTGGTCAAAGCGATGGCCTAAAGAAGCATATTTGAAGAGGAGAGAGAGACAGAGAAGTGGAGAGTTTTGGGGAGGGAATTCCAGAGTTTATGGCCTTGACTACTGATAGCACGGCTGCTGGAGATTAATGGAAACCACATTGTTGTTCCCTGAGAAATTTGGCATTCTCTCATTCATCCTGATGCATGCAAGAAAAATCTTTGACAACTCTATTCCTTTCTCTGCAATACGCTAATAAGTTAATAAGTTGCAAGTTTCCTTTATGTTGAGATTTATGTCAAGCCCTTTAAGAAAGAACATATGTTTTTAAAACCACTTCAACAGATCCTTAAATCTTCAAAACAGGCAATCAGGCGAATAGCATTTAAAATAGTCCAGTATTGCAGGACTGCAAAAATCTCAGAGGGTGGAGGTATTGGAGGACATTACGAAGGAAGGGAGGTCCAAAACCAAGGTGAGCTTTGAAAATAAGGCTAAGAATTTGAAAGTGTGCGACCAGAGGCCAATATAGGTCAGTGAGCACAAAGAGGATGATAGGTGAGTGAGGCTTGGTGTAAGTTAGGATGCATGCAGCATTGCTTTATGTAGCATACATCAGCATAGACATATAACCAAGTATTAAATTGATGAGCCAGTACTCAGCTTGACTTTGCAAGACACAGGAGAGTGGAGTTCTATGTCTAATCTTTGTTAAACCCATCTTGGTTCTTCCTTTCCTTTTACTGAAACAAAACATTCTTGATACAGTATTACGAATCCAAACCAGAGTGCCACATTTAGATTATAATCTGGTTAGGGACAAGTAGCTTTTTTTAAAAGTGGACAAGATGTGTAAATCCATATACAACTTATATTTCAACATCTTGAATTAACCTGAGGCAATAACAGATACACCGTGACAAACACCCCCCACAGCACATCAAATAGCAAATAATTACATATCAATACAGATCTCATGGATTTCTCATCAACCTCAGCAACATATATTTGCAACATTATGGATCATCAAATCTCATTAAAACCTTATTAGGAATCCCACATTCTCAATAACTACTCATGTCTGATAGCTTACTCC